TACCTTTGCAGTTTTAACAGTACCATAGAAAAGGTAAGAGCAAGGGTTAGATGATGTTCATAGCTAGTAAGAAAACTATTACGGGGGAATGGGGAAAGGTGGACCCCCCCAGTCATGAACCATGGATTGAGATAATAGAATAAATCTACACAATGGAAAATGATATCACCTGAGATTAAACACAAATAGGAGAAAAATGGGAGTGATGGACACTATTCAAAACCACAGGCAGCGACAATAAATAAATACTCGACAAACTGGAAGAGACAAAAGGATTATTAGATTAGCTCCCAAGCAAAAAGTTGTTTTTAAGTTTTTGTATGTAGTGTTAAATGTGAACTGTTCATGTACATGTTGTATGTAAATAAATGTGGAAAATGCCAATAAAAAGTTAAATGATTTAAAAAAAAAAAACTTAAAATAATAGTTGGGTTAATTTTTTAGCAACGGCCACACGGTGGGCAACAATGTTTTTACTCAGCACTGAAGTGTAAAGATAATGAACTGACCATGACCACATGTGGTATTCTTAATGATTTAAAACATCTTGATGATGTGAATGAACCTGTTCACTGATTATATCTTTACAAAAACAACAAAACATTAGAACACGGTCAGTCTCATTAGTTGCACTCTGCTCAATTCAAAACAGGCCCAGATGTGCTGATGGACGAGAAGCGTCTTCGGCCTCGGGGTTGTCAAACGATGACATCATACAGCTTTACAGCAGAAACACCGGCGTGCCTTCAGGTCGCTCATTAATCCAGATCCTGAACGCTTTTCCAGTTTGAGCTCCACACTTTCCCATTTTCAGTCACGTTGATTTGAATTCGACGTCAGAGCGACTGAACTCTGCTGCTTTCTTCATGTAAAGAATCATTTCAGCTAAAACAAGCGCTTCTTTCATCACTGGTCTTACAAACACCTAAACCACCTAAAACAGTTTTTATTCAATCACGATACGTTTCAGTTTAATTTTTTTAATCTAAAGTGTCATTTTGATTTTTTAGACTTGTGACACTCATCAGAATCACAGATTTCTATCACCCCAAAATAAAAACCTGACTAAACGTATTAAACGTTTTGGCTTGCACCTGCCCGTCAGCTCCAGTGAATTTTCCTTCTTGATCTTAAAGACGAGGTTCAGAACAACCATCTCGTTGCTTTCTGCAGGCTGACAACCAGCGTGCCCACCAAGCGTTCATATCGACACCATCTTCATGTCTGAGCTCCAGTCCAACATCAAAGCTGCCCACACAACTTTTATTACCCCGCCATGTTTCCAGTGGTGCAGTGGATTTTCAGATTGTGCCAAAGAACAAACCATCAGATTCTGTGATGTGGATCCGGGAGTTCGAGGCTGCTGTCAGGAACGACGGAGAACAGCCCCCTCCCTCGCTGGATCTACGTCTGTCCAACTACAGAGAAATATGAGCGTCTGCAGAATGTGAGTCAGCCTAAAGTCATGGGGGGGCTCGGTGCTCCCAGTATCAACTCTGTTTGGGGTTTAAAAGAAAAGAGTAAAATAATTGTCTCGCTTGTTTTCCGCCCTGCAGTGAGCTCAGGGTGGGTGTCACCCCCCCAGCCGGCAGCCATGTTACTGATCCCAACATTAGCTAAAGGAGCATGCTGTTTATTCCATTCTCATGTTTTTTATCTGGAGCTAACTAAAGTGTAATTAAGAGCGGGCCGGAGCCGTGTCAGTTCCTTCAGGTTCTACGAACTCTATGTCGCCTCCGTCACAATAACAAAAGCGAAATCCAGCGTAGAGCGGCTGCGTGAACGTGGTGCGGACTCTGTGGAGGAGAGTCATGGTTTGAGAGACGTCGTAGAAACACAGGGTACCGGCTCTGTGGTCCAGGTACACTCCCAGTCTGTGCGACTCCGGACCAGAGACTGAAGTCTTGACTTTATTGTGGTAAAAAGTGTAACTGGTTGGTGTAAAACGGCACCCCTCCATGTCATACTGTAGCACCCAGGACTTGTCATTGAACCCAAACGCACACTCCAGTGAGTTCCCTGCTCTCCTGATGTTCTTGTATGTAACTGCTACACAGAGTCCTACTCCAGCCCACTTCACCTCCCAGTAACAGCACCCAGTCAGCCTCTCTTTACTCAGGACCTGTCTGTAATGAGTGAACCTCTGTGGGTTACTGGTGTAAGACTCCTGCTCATACTCCACCATGGCTGCTCTGTGGTTCTGGGACAGCAGCAGCGTTCTGTACGCTGTGTCCGGGTCCAGGGTCAGCTCACACGAGTAACTCAAGAAGTCTGCTCTTGTTTGTGGCTCTGACTGGAAGGTCATGGTTAAAACATGAACATCAGAGCCCACCTGTGAGATGTTTGTCCACTTCTCACTCAGTGCGTCCTGTAGTCTGTCTCTGAGCTCCAGCACAGCTGCTGCCACGTCCTCAAAGTACCTGTGAGGACCAGCGGTGATGCTGGCTGAGTGTGGAGACCCGCCGAGGGCTGACCGGGACACGTAGCTCTGCAGGAACTGGTTGTGATCCTCTGTGCGTGACAGCTGCTCCAGCTCAGAGTCCTTCCTCCTCAGCTCAGTGATCTCCTGCTCCAGCTTCTCCTGAAGCTCTCGGACTCGGCTGGCCTCGGTCTTCTGCTGGGATCTGACCTGCTGCTCCACATCAGAGCTTCGCCTCTGGATGAGACGTATCAGCTCGGCAAACATCTTCTTACTGCTCTCCACTTGTTTGTCAGCAGCGGCATCGATGGCCTCCACCTCCTGCTGGAGCACTTTCAGATCTTCCTCTTGGTCCTTGATCCTCTGCTGGAGTTGCTGTCGATCCGCCTCGAGCTCCTTCTGCTTCTCAGCTCTTGCTGCTTGAATCCAAACTGTCTCGTGGTCTTTGTGATCGTCCATGGTGCAGAGGACGCAGACACACTGCTGATCAGTGCAACAGAACACCTTCATCACCTCATCGTGACGAGAGCAGACGCGCACCTGAAGCATTGTGGAGGGCTCCACCAGCTTGTGTCTCCTCAAAGGAGCAGCATCATAGTGGGGCTGAAGGTGTCTGTCACAGTAAGAAGCTAAGCAAACCAGACAGGACCTGACAGCCTTCAGCTTCCTCCCACTGCAAACATCACAGGCCACATCTTCTGGACCTGGACAGGCGAGATGATCAGGATCAGCCTGGAGTCCAGTCGTCTTCAGCTGCTCCACTAAATCTGCCAACATGTTGTTTTTCACCAGCGCAGGCCTCGGTGTGAAGGTCTGCCTGCACTCTGGGCAGCTGGACACTTTCTTCTTCCTCTTCTTGTTCCACACGTCTTTAATGCACTTCATGCAGTAGCTGTGTCCACATGGGAGAGCCACCGGAACCTCCAGAACCTCCAGACAGATCGGACAAGAGAATCGATCAGCGTCCAGCTCCACTCCTTTCTGCGCCATTTCACCACAAACTTACGAGTCAAACAGAAACTGACACCACGTGACGTGAAGGCGGGGTCGTGCTGCTCGGAGCAGCTACGGCAAGCCGAAAGTGCCACAAATCAACTTTTTTTTAAATTATTTGTCATTAAACAGTACAAATACAACTTCAAACAAAGAAGAAAGAAAGATAAAAAGGAGACAAACTAAACAAAAATAAAAATAAATAAAATCAGACAATAGAGTTTGTTCAGTGTTCATGAGAGTTCGGGGTTTTCCATGAGACTGAGGTCCTTCACCATCTTGCAGAGATCCACAGCAGCATCTTCTCATGTGTTTCAGAGATGAGAAGAAGAGGCACACTTCTCTGTGAAAGGCAACAACATTTGGTCTAGCTTTAAGAAATATATTCTTGTGAATAAAAACTTCTGTAGAATGAAAATAGTGTTAATCATCAGATCATGTACAGAGTTTTTTTGCGATAAAACCATACAAGACATTTTCAATTTTCAATTTTGAAATCTGTATATATTTAGACACAGTGATGTAAATCATCCCAAAAGGCATTAGTATATATACAATCATAAAAATTGTGCTCAGTGGTCTCAGCTAGTTCTTTACAAAATGAACAGTTAGTACATTCAAAGCCAAAGCGCTTACATAGAAAGTCAGCAGAGGGATATATTCTATTAATAATTCTGAAATTAATCTCTTTTGCTTTAGGTGCGACAGGGAATTTATAAAATTTTGATCTTAATTGTTGAGCATCTTTTCTGGAGAAGGAATTTAGAATTGTGTTACGGGAAGAGGAGCAGGGATACAGCTCTTTGTTAAATATGAAACGAACAGTTGTTTCGTTTGGAGTCCAAAAGATTTAGATTATTCACTAAAAGCGCGGGAAGATTTGTGTTTGGAACATTTGTATATAAATTAGATGTCATGATTATTATAGGTTGAGTATTGCATTAATCACTTTCTTATATTGTTTTTTATCAGTCAAGTTAAATTTGGATCTAAAATTCTCAAATGTTATAATCTTCCCTGTCGAATTGAACAAGTGTAAAACAGACCATATGCCTTTATCTAACCAGTTTTGTAGAAATATAGAGTTACGGTTATGTAATATATATCTGCAGTTCCAAAGTGGGGTGTTGTGGGGACTGAAATTAGAAGGTGCTTGGTGTTTCATCTGGACAGAGAATGGATGATAAGGAAACCTGGTGCTGGAATAGTGACGTACAGGACACCGTTCAAAGAAAGAGGTTAGCCAAGAAGAAATACGACAGTGAGAGGACTGAAGAGAGGAGACAGGAATATAAGGAGATGGGACGTAGAGCAAAGAGGGAGGTGGCAAAGCAGAAGACGTATGATGAGTTGTGGGAGACTGGACACTAAAGAGGGCGAGAAGGACTTGTACTGATTGGCAAGACAGAGGGATCAGGCTGGAAAGGATGTGCAGCAGGTTAGGCTTGTTAAAATAGGAATGGTAATGTGCTAAGAAGTGAGGAGAGTGTGATGGGAAGACTTGTGGGAAGACTCAACTTTAAGAAAGGTAGGGAGTTGATTAGCTGAATCAGCTGAGTCCCTTCTTTACGCAACACTACACCTTTCTTGTATCGACATTGTTTAATGTGTTATAATACAAATTTATTTTTCACGTGTTCTCATAAAAATGAATTTAAAGTTGATTTTTATGTATTGTTTAAAGAAATCATAAAATTGTCTTAAAAATGTGTTACTCCTTTTAATTCAGTTCAATTCAGTTTATTTATTTAGCGCCAAGTCACAACAGAAGTTGTTTCAGGGCACTGAACAGAAATATTCATATACATTACGAAAGCCAGTTAGTAAAATTCTCTATTTAATGAAGCCAGCAGATTGTGTAGAATCTTTTCTTCATAACAGTCTCCCATTCTGAGCAAGCACAGTGGCAACAGTGGAAAGAAAAAGCACACTTCTCATAGGAAGAAACCTCCAGCAGAGCCAGGCTCAGGACGAGTGGCCATCTGCTGTGACCAGCTGGTTTTGAGAGTGTGGGATTTCCAGCCACAAGCACTTTCTCCCCAGTTGCTAATCATCTTAATCACCCACCACTCCACACCTGCACCTGATTTGGGATATAGCTCTGCTGAAGACTATTTAAACTTATGCCACACATTCATCCTATGCTGGAACATTATGGTACCTTATGGTATCTTAGTGGACAGCTGGTAAGCTTATTCCTTGAGAAACTTTGATTAACCTTGTGATTACTGATATCGTGTGTCCTTTAAGTCCTGCTCCTCTGGGTCTTCTGAGACTTCCTCGCTCCTTGTGACCTTGTCCTGTCATCATCTTGTTCCTTCAATCTCCAAACATCAACCTGGATCAAAAACTACCAAACACCTTCAACCTGTTCCTCTCTCCAACAACACTCGCTGTTATAGAAATTTTGGTATGAATCTTTTATTATATTATGGCTGAGAACATCTTTCCGTAAAGCGTGCACAAAACATTCTCTCATCTCTGCCTGAAGGCCAGCTCGCTGACTTGCAGTGCCTCACTGGTGTTGACGCCGTGAGAACATGCCATATAAAGACATATCCTGACAAACACTGGAGGCCAAATTAATGCCATCCATAGAAAGTGAAAGACAGCAAAGTTTATTCCCAAGATGCTCTGGTCCAAAACCCACAACCTCTGTCTTGTCTGAGTTTAAAAGTAGAAAACTTATGGTCATCCATGGTTTTATGTCTTTAAGACATGAATTCACAAAACGTTCAATACAAAAAAACAACTGGACCTTATTTGTAACAAAAGACGTTTCGCTCCTCATCCGAGGAGCTCTCTCAGTTCAAAGAGCAGAGAGTGAG